CACTGCCGACTCTTCCATGAGGTGTGTTGTCTGTCAGACTGAATAGAACATGATGTCATGATAAGAGCGGAGCACTGTCTTAAACACGCTTGCTCTCTGAGGTCAAAGGAGAAAATGAGAGAAGAGGGACCAAATATAGATGTTTCAAACCTAAATGTAGGTTAGTTGGCCAAAATTGCACAAACAACTTTGGTTGGTATTTATTAGGAATAGTTTTAGTGGGTTCATATTATTCCGTAATGAAATGTAAAAGATTAGATATGCAGTGGACAAGAGCGGTTCTATAATTTTGCCATCTGAGTGTCTTAATTAAGAGCAATAGTCCTTAATGTAGAGTGAACAATTAAACCATGTCAGCATCAAAGGGTCGGAATGAACTGAAAGCTATATTTTTACAATGTTGAAGTTAAATGTGGCTTCAAGGATTTAGCCGCAGAGGTTTTGTCGGCACCGAGACTTCTAACTATGCAGGATCAGATGATTATAATTGGCTGAAATAGGCTTTTCTTACTATTCATAGCAATGTGTCTACACCACAGTGTGGAACAATAGGCAGAGAATGACAGTCGGCTGGGTATCTCCTACATGGTTGGGAGTGCTAATGATAGGGTAAGGCAGCTAAACGAGAGTTTGTGTCGTCTGGCAGACTGCACGAGCATGTTGTCCAGCCTCAGAGAGCATAAATCTGACCCAGGAGTAGTGCCAGAGTCTAATTATAATAGTCGGGATGGCTCCGTTTTCAACCAATATCATTGCAGGAAACCTCACTGTTGTGTCTTGAGAGACGTCCTGTGATTTAGCAGTGTGGCTTGTTTGTTTGACTGTAATATCTACCTGTCTGAAAGTTATTGCCTTTGGAATAATTTACCTGTCAATCCTCACACATACACACACACACGATGTGAGACTTTGTGGTCATGTGCGAAGGCCTTTTAGCCAACATAGACATGATGTGGCGGTATTCGCAGGATCATGTTAAGTTACTAAGACTACGGAAGGAACAAAATATTAATTTGGTGGTCGTAGGTTTACAGGAGGCAAAACTTCAGTCTAATGGCTTCCACATTCAGTCCCATAGAGACGCTTAGTTTTCTCAATGTTTTTTTTAAACATTTCTGTACACCGCTTAGCTGTGGCACAGCTTAGCACAAGGAACTAACGTATAACATGCTGGAATGTGATTTATTTACTTTTATGCTAAATTTAGCCAACATACTGGCTCAATTTTGTATTGAAATTCAATATGACAGAGAATGGAATTGGTCTTATGCTCTACCGTGGCAAGAAAGCCGATTAGCATATTTTTTGGAAGGTTGAACCATTCTTTGAAGATAAAGTCCAAAAGATAAACACATGTACAACCTTTGTGTGCCTGTGTGTTATAAAAACTCTTCTTCAAGCAATTGAATTTCCCAAATTCCTGGAATTGTTACTGGAGTGTTACTGATAACTTTGGCTCTGGACGGAAATCCCTTTTAAATAAATGTGTGGGGTGACGGTGTGAAACGGTTACCCAGTCACCTGTGAAAAAATCCGATGCTCATTGAACTTTTCAATCCTATAAATCCAATTCCTTGCATAACTTCTGAGAATCGTTTAGGTAACACGTGATCTCTGACTCCACATGAAAGAGCAGCTCGGTAATCAGTCCTGACGTCTTAAAGTTGGTGAAGGATTTCTCCGGCACCCCCTTGATAATTGCCAGCATAACGACTGGAGCTCAGCCCACAGGGCGGGATTACTGAGGGACATTAAAGATGTCGATCAGGTCTGTGTGGTGGGAAGGGATCCAACCAGTAGACTGTGGTCCACTTTGTACATTGTCTGCAGGATTAACTGTTGCCCAAGCTCTTGTAATGCGATGCAATATGTCTGGGGCCCTGATTAAAAGACACTCACACGTAGACTCAACCAACGATTGAGTACAGTTAAATATTCTTGACAAGTATTTCGAAGTATGTTTAGGACCCCAGAAGACGCTACTACAGTGAACTGTGCTTATGGCCTCCAAATACCATGAGCAATGAGTTCTGGGTCTCTTTGTGATCGCAAAGTTTAATGAAGGTTCCCAAACTTTTTACAATAATGCAAACACTTTTTAAACACCTTTTAAGCCAAGGAACCCTGAACCAATGCAAACATTTTGGGGTGAAAAATAAAAAGTATTTTGTTAAGTCTTTATTATGACATTGAAATATAATTATTATTTATAAAATGTGGTGCATCAAACCCACATTTACATGTTTTATTTAATTTCTTACAGTATTATTATTTTAGTAATCATAAAAACACTGCAGTACTTCTAAATACCTAAGCACAATGGATGTTGGGATTTGAAATAGATGGAAATCATAGCCAGACAATGAACCTTCCAGTGGGGTGAATGGGAAAGCCTGTCGTCGCCAGTCAAATCTCCCTTCCCTTAAGGTCCTTCCATTGCCGTTTTCCTTCCCAGCCTCACCCAGATGCTCTCCGAAGGCCCCCTCACCTGACTACCCCACCTATCTAAACACCCGTTCCCACATAAATTACGTTTTACTCCTAAGTGTATCGGAGTATGGGTTATTGGTGGTTTTGTGTGACAGCTGTGTGTTGCGGTGTGAGAGGGGCGTATTTAGTGAAGTGCTGTACTTCTGCACTGTCCTCACCACCTGCACTGTACTGCACCACCTGCAGGAAATGCAAAACGTCTGTACTACCAAACTAACTCACAGGAAAAGACTTAGTACAAATAAAAACAAATATAGACTCAATATAGGAATAGAAATCAGCTGTTCGGGTGAAAAAAGATCAGAAGTTTGGTTGGGGTTGATTTGAGAGTGACAAATATTTTTGTCTAAGCTCTCTTTTCATTTCGTCTTAAGTCCAAAGCCACCAACCTGCTGTTAGCCAACTCTGTGGTTGCAGGAGTGGCCTAGTTTGCTACAGTATGGCGCAGCCCGGAGGATTATGTTTTAATAAGCTTATATAAACACCCCCCACAGTGTGGTCTCATTATGTGGAGCTAATTGAGTCGCCCCGTCCCGGGGTCAGCAGGGCCTCTTTGAACAGCTCAGTGTTTTGCTATAAAGAGGCCCATCTCTGCTTCGAGAACATCTGTCTGTGGTCTGTGGAACATGTGTCTTTTCTTCAGGCGAACTGTTTGGACGTGCACATTTTTGTATCTTTACACTTGCGCATGTACATCGTACTCATCTAAAGTTGTTTCAACTGTAGCCTGCAGGTTTGTTCATATAAAAGTGATTATATAAGACTAATTATAATTCTTAATAATAATTCTTTGCCAATCAGTTTAGATATTTGTCCAGCTGACAGTTCTTTATCATTATTCAATACAGCGTTTAGTTTCTTAGAGCCTTGCTTTTGTTTTGGTAGGTGTTTTTTTTTAATTCACTTAATTAGTGTTATTTATAGCATGCTAGCGGCATGGCAACCTGCTCTGAGATACGTCTATTCAACGGAGTGCCATGCAATTTAGTACAGAACCTTTCTGTTTCCCACACTTTGCATCTATCAATCATCATGTCAAAAATTCTATTCATCCAGACGGCGTACTTTATGACAAGCTATCCACAAAACTCAAGACATTATCCCACAACCAGCTGTACGTTCCATGCTAATTGGCAAACCTCTAGCTGAACTTGATTGACAGGGGACATGGCGCCGGCACAGTCGGGCGAAAGCAAGGTGTAACGCTGTGTGAGAGATGGTGTTTTTCTTTTTCAAGTGACCTGAGTGAAAAGATTCATTTTGTGTAGCATTGGTAAGGCCCACATCAACAGTTTTTCTTTTTTCATTGTCATTTATGATATGAGCACATGTAAATTAACAATATATTTTTTCCAGGATATGGTTGTGTAATTCCACCTGTTTTATGGTTGAGCAAACAGCTGAAAACATAATTGAGCGGTTTAAAGATGACAGAAGCGGCTCCATGTCTGTTCCTTATCAGCAGCACTGCCAACAATGGAAACTTCTCTCCATCACAGATTACAATTAATAATTGATTTGAGTTGTGTCAGAATTTCATGTGTTTTCTGGAAGATTGAGCTATCAACATTTTAGATTTCCCTCTGGATTTCCGGCACTAGCCTTTTAAGTTGTTCTTCCCTCAGTAGATCCTGATCCCTGGTTTGAATCCGACTGTACGCCTGATGTCACTCAGAGCGATTGGGATTGGCTCACAGCTGCTTGGTTGATGTTATCTGATTGGCCTCCAGAGACAAACATCGTTCTCTGTTTGGAAATGGTCCATGGATGTAGTGACCTCATGGGACAAAGTGAGTATATGCTTCTTCCTTCTTCCTTGTCTCGCTCCCCCCTTTGCCTGCGTTTGTATCTCTTCATCGTGTGCTTCCCCTTTCGTTCCATTGCCCTTATCACTTGCTCTCTGTATCAGTTTACTGGCTTGGTGTTCCTTCATTTTCTGTTTGATGCTGACAGCATGTGGTGCTTTGATCTCTCATACGGGACAGATAAGGATACTGTGTGTGTGTGTGTGTGTGTGCTCTTGCATTCATTTGCACACACACACACACATTTATGCCCTGTTCTCCTCGGTATCGATGGTCTACCACTGTTTGGAATCAAATGGCTTTTACATGGCTGCTCTTTAAGATGGACAAAGACGCATCAGATAACATATGGATGACTCACTGGATTGAATATTGATCACACACCCTGACTGAGTGTTCTCAAACATCCATTCAGAATTAGCCTTATCAACAAAAAGTGTAATTTTTACTTAACAGGGTAAACTGGTGCAAATTAAATGAGCCCACAGGTTTAGTGGTCATTGATAATGTCAGAGGTGGAGGCTGATTATTTACCCGACCCTGTGACTCATTAGTGGCCTGACCAGCTGAACAGGCCCAATGGACCAAAGTGTTCCTTGTTGCGAAAGTTAACAGATTGTTTTGTTCCACGCACGCACGATTGACTGAGCGCGTGGTTGTCGATTCTAAAGAGTAATTTGAGACAGTCCCTCCAAAGAAAATAGA